TTTTGTACTAAATCTTTTATAAATTAACACGGACTACATTAACTATATACCTCCAAGCGACTATTATGGCCTATCAATACGACGACATCGAAAAATAATCGACTTCGATTCAGTTACTGAAATCCCCAATACTGTACCTAAAGCGGCAGTACGTTGTAGTATTCCTCGACAAAGTGCCTACAGGCTGTTCAAGGAGTTCAATGGTAGCAATGGTAGTGTATTGCCTGGTTTTGCTCCGAAAGCCAAAAACAGAGGTACAAAACGGAAGCTTTTTCCTCAGCACATCCTTTTTTTGATCCAGTACCTTGAAAACCACCGGTCCTCAATCATCTCTCGAAGTGCTGGAATCCCTTCCATCTTGAAATGTTCCACTTGAATGAATTGATTTAATTTTTGGCAATTGAGAATAGGTCTTCTTTTTGTTTTTTCTTGTAGAGCGAAGAATTTTGATAGAAAATTTCGATTTTGTGATGGTGAAACTTCGATCGTTCCTCCAGCTAAAAACTTTTTTATTGCTTCGTTTACATGTAATTGCTTGACGTGTCTAACCCAATTCCAGTTGACGAAAGGAGGACTTCAGATGTGGTATAAGCTCTTCGAGCCGTGCTTTTTATTTGAAAATATATAAAATATACAAAAAAGTGTAGACTATCTCTTTTAACCCTTTTCAAGCCGCGCATCGTGGACAGTATTATGGAAAGTGAGCACAATGTACAACAAAACCAGAGTTTCTTCCCTGAGCAAATCGAAGAACTGTACCAACAATTTGCCGCTCGATTTCGAATCGAAGAAGAAGGGCAACGAAAACACCATCAACTTATCCTCCCAGAGGCCATTCAGACAGACCTGGAAGAGACTCCCAAATTGGAGATGCAGTCAAACATCAAAAAATGCATCCGTGATCTTCCCAACTACGAAGGAGGTGACTGAACTATCAATGAGACAATCAATAAAGAGTTTACACCTAACATCAAGCGATTCCAGATCGATGCTTACCAAGTCCTTTAAATTCGTTATAAAGATGCGGAAAGAATCCGCAACACAGTAAAGGCAGCCACGGATATCTACGAAGACTAGGTCTACATATCCACGCATAGCGCAGATCCAACCGCTTTCGCAAACATCATCGAAAAAGCAAGGGGATGGGCGATTTATGGCTTCATCGCAGCAAGGGATATCGATAGAGAAGCACGAAATTTGGCCATTAAAGCACTTAAACTTCCTCCCACCCTTAAATACCTCGAAACAAGTCAAGAGGAAAACAAATGAATGGCACTCTCTCCCGAGTCTGTCAAGGAAATTGCCCAAGCCAGATTCGAAACAGCTCTTTTGCAACGAGCAGCCAGCAGTCAATTCACGAGTCATAGATAGAGGTACAATAACCCCTAAGGTTCAGCTCATCGAGCTAGAGGACAGGGAAGAGGACGGTATTTTTTTGGAAGAACCAATTACAAACAACAGCAACCAACAGAGAAGCTCCAACATACAAATTCAAACCCAGCAAGCCAGCAGTAGTAACAGATCAATAGTACATCATGCACCGTTGCCAATATCTTTAACTTCAACCTTAGCACAAACAGACAGACACCTGACACAAAAAACAAAAATCAACAATAATGTGACGATGCAATTCAACAATCACAAAGACTACAACACGATCAACACTCCAGCCAACAATTACTCAGCACCACTAGACGGAATTCTTCCTGGCGGGAGGTTGCAGCGATTTTTACCACATTGACAATCTACTATTCAACATCCATGGCCATTACCGGTCATTTCAGAAGGTTACAGAATCCAATGGGAGACCAAACCAGCAGCCTGGAGGACCGCGCCATTGCGACTATCCGACGAAGATCACCAAGCAGCAACAATAGCCGCTCAACAATTCCTCGGCGCCAGTATAATAGAGAGATCACCTATGCAGAACGAAGACTTCCTGTCAAATTTCTTCACCATACAAAAAAGACAAAGAGGCGACCTATTCTTGACTGTCGAAAGTTAAACGAATTTGTACAATGAACGCATTTCAAAATGGAGGATATACCAGCGTTAAGGAATATCCTAGAAGAAAAGGATTTAATGTGCAAATTAGATCTAAAAGATGCATACGCCGTAGTGTCTATGCATCCAGACTCCAGGTGTTTCCTTACCTTCAAGCACAATAACGTCGTGTATCAATACAAACCATTGGCTTTCGGGCTAAGCGTCGTTCCGCGCGTATTTACAAAGCTAATGCGGTACGCAATAGAGCCATTAAGATAGCAAGGCATTCGACTGGTCTATTACTTAGACGACATTTGTTTACTCGCAAAGTCAGAAGCATAAATGGAAAAGGTCAAGGAAACTGTAACCAACCATTTGAAAAAGATTGGTTTCCTGATCAACTGGAGAAAGAGCTCTTTAGAACCATGCCACTGCCAAGAATTCCTGGGATTCCAGTTCAATACAAAGAAAATGTAGATCATAGCCCCGCAACCGAAGATCAACAAACTATTAGCAAGAATCAAGCAAGCCAAGAACAAGACAATCACCAGAACATTCAGATGGATGGCAAGCTTACTGGGGACGATGGTGTCACTGATTCCAGCGATCAGAGAAGCTCTACTACACGTACGTTACCTACAAAGGGACGTGAGCTGGCGCTCAAGAGAGGCTCTCGTAAATGGGACAGCATATGCCCACTCTCACACCAGGGATTTCAAGACCTTTGGTGAGAACAGTGTATCAGACAGAAGAACGGGTTGCCGATACAAACTTTCAATCTTCACAAGTACCGTTTCCACAGCAAAAAAGTAACAGTCGAGCTGAATGGTGATGAGTAACTTTTTTTTTTCTTTTTTATTAGAAACACTGATGATTAATTAGTTAATTAATCAATAGAGTCAACAGCTATTTTTCGAAATGGTAGTGGGGTTTTTGCTTGTCCCTATTGTGATGGCACTTACTACCAAACTCCCAATACTTTGAAGAGATACGTAAAAGACAATCATGATAAAGAAGAAACTGAAGCCGATTCTGACGACGATAGTATGGTCCAAGCTAATTGTTTGGATGTCACTTTGAATGCCAATAGGTCGATTTCAGTATCAGCGGTGCCCACGGTTCCTAATAAAGGACAATGTTAGACATGACCATCATACAGCTGTATTGTCTGCGTTCGATGCAATGGGTGAATCAGAAAAAGAACAAGGAAAGGAGCTACTAGTCGCGGAATTGGGAGATCTTGATCCAATAGCAATTGTTGACCAAGAAGGCAAAGAATACAACCTACTGGCCAACAAAAAGATCATCAATACCATCATCGAGTTAAACCAAACATCGGTGATCTTTTATTTGCCAAAGAAGAGAAAAAATTTTGATAATGAAGCTGAAGAGAATTAATCCATTAATTTTTGCTGTGGATTGTGTCGTAGTAGAAGAAAATAGAAGACCGTGATTACGGTATTCGACTATAAATAATAGTATAATCCTGGTTCAATTTCAATAAACATTTATCTTGCTTTAGTCTCACAGCTGTTTTTTTTGTTTTTTTTTTTTT